TTTGGGTGACATAGTCCATCATGTCTTGTACAGACTTGGTTCCGAGTTCTGTGTCCCAATGTATATCCCATAGAAATTTATTCATCTCCTCATAGTTTCCCTTTCGGTACGCCAGCCCTTTGTTTCCCAGTTCTTTTTGGGGGTGACAATTCCTAGCTCAACCAGGTACTCAAAGCTCAATGTTTGTGTGTGTGTGTGTGTGTGTGTATGTGTGTGTGTGTGTGTGTGTGTGTGTGTGTGTGTGTGTGTGTGTGTGTGTGTGTGTGTGTGTGTGTGTGTGTGTGTGTGTGTGTGTGTGTGTGTGTGTGTGTGTGTGTGTGTGTGTGTGTGTGTGTGTGAGTGTGTGTGTGTGTGTGTGTGTGTGTGTGTGTATACTCACCTAGTTGTACTCACCTAGTGGTGCTTGCGGGGGTTGAGCTCTGGCTCTTTGGTCCCGCCTCTCAACCGTCAATCAGCAGGTGTACAGGTTCCTGAGCCTATTGGGCTCTATCATATCTACACTTGAAACTGTGTATGGAGTCAGCCTCCACCACATCGCTTCCTAATGCATTCCATTTGTCAACCACTCTGACACTAAAAAAGTTGTGTGTGTGTGTGTGTGTGTGTGTGTGTGTGTGTGTGTGTGTGTGTGTGTGTGTGTGTGTGTGTGTGTGTGTGTGTGTGTGTGTGTGTGTGTGTGTGTGTGTGTGTGTGTGTGTGTGTGTGTGTGTGTTTGTGTGTGTTTGTGTGTGTGTACTCACCTAGTTGTACTCACCTAGTTGTGTCTGCAGGATCGAGCATTGACTCTTGGATCCCGCCTTTCGAGCATCGGTTGTTTACAGCAATGACTCCTGTCCCATTTCCCTATCATACCTGGTTTTAAAATTATGAATAGTATTTGCTTCCACAACCTGTTCCTGAAGTGCATTCCATTTCCCCACTACTCTCACGCTAAAAGAAAACTTCCTAACATCTCTGTGACTCATCTGAGTTTCAAGCTTCCATCCATGTCCTCTCGTTCTGTTACTATTCCGTGTGAACATTTCGTCTATGTCCACTCTGTCAATCCCTCTGAGTATCTTATACGTTCCTATCATGTCCCCCCTCTCCCTTCTTCTTTCTAGTGTCGTAAGGCACAGTTCCCTCAGGCGCTCCTCATACCCCATCCCTCGTAGCTCTGGGACGAGTCTCGTTGCAAACCTCTGAACCTTTTCCAGTTTCATTATATGCTTCTTCAGATGGGGACTCCATGATGAGGCGGCATACTCTAAGACTGGCCTCACGTAGGCAGTGTAAAGCGCCCTAAATGCCTCCTTACTTAGGTTTCTGAATGATGTTCTAACTTTTGCCAGTGTAGAGTACGCTGCTGTCGTTATCCTATTAATATGTGCCTCAGGAGATAGATTAGGTGTTACGTCCACCCCCAGGTCTCTTTCACGCGTCTTTACAGGTAGGCTGTTCCCCTTCATTGTGTACTGTCCCTTTGGTCTCCTATCTCCTAGTCCCATTTCCATAACTTTACATTTGCTCGTGTTGAATTCTAGTAGCCATTTCTCTGACCATCTCTGCAATCTGTTCAGGTCCTCTTGGAGGATCCTGCAATCCTCATCTGTCACAACTCTTCTCATCAACTTTGCATCATCCGTAAACATCGACATGTAGGACTCTACGCCTGTAAACATGTGTGTGTGTGTGTGTGTGTGTGTGTGTGTGTGTGTACTCACCTATATGTGCTTGCAGGATCGAGCATTGACTCTTGGATCCCGCCGCGTGTGTGTGTGTGTGTGTGTGTGTGTGTGTGTTTGTGATTACCTAATTGAAGCAACAGGAGGCTACACTCGTGGTCCCGTCTTCCAAGTACTCTTTGTCGTATAACTCTTTGATAACAACACCGCTTCTGACCTCCCCCACCTTCTCAATTAACTTGTCCCAAGCGTTTTCCGCTCCGTTTGCAAAAGAAACATTGTAAAATATGTCGGCACCTTTGTTTTCCTAGCTTGAGTTAATGACCTCTTCTCCTTGAGGTTGCCAGTTTCAGGAATTCCTCTTAATCAATTTGGTCGATTCTTGTTATTTTGAGATTGGTGATCATATCGGCTCTCTTTCTTCTTTCTTCTAGCTCTTGTATATTTAATGCCTTTAACATCTGTTCCTAACTCTTGTTTATCAGTTTCGGAAGTCATTATGTAGCATGCCTTTGCACCTGTTCCAGTTTAGTAGTAGTAGGCCTCCATCAGTCTCTGGAGACTATGGTGTTGCTCTCTGGTTGCTGGTCTAGAGTGGACTCACCAACAAAGGTGAGTCCACTTTGTATCTAAAGGATACAAAGGAGAAGCTGCAGGCGATGGGTCACAATAACGTTGCTGAAATAGTTTGACCAGACCACACACTAGAAGGTGAAGGGATGACAACGTTTCGGTCCGTCCTGGACCATTCTCAAGTCGATAGAGAATCGACTTGAGAATGGTCCAGGACGGACCGAAACGTTGTCGTCCCTTCACCTTCTAGTGTGTGGTCTGGTCAAAGGAGAAGCTGTTACCCAGGCAGCAGGTCCTCCCTCTCCAATAGTTTATTGATGTTCTTATTGAGATATAGGCACCATAAAACTAACTGCTGCATATTCCAATTTTGGTCTCACCAAAGTCATGAACAATTTCTTTGATATTTCACCACCGATGTAGTTAAAAGCAAGTCTGAAGATATGGTAAGCGACGCACACGCTCATCTCGCATTCTTTTTTATATGTTCCTTTAGTGACAACTTACTATTCAGAACCTTCCCTAGATCTCGTTCTTTATTAGAGTATCCTAGCTTTCCGAATAGAAGCAAACATGTTCATGTAATTCTGTATTCCTTCTGGTACGTCATTTATGTAGACGATGAACACTATTGGTGCAAGAACTGAACCCTGTGGGTCTCCGCTAGTAACACTCCTCCAGTAACATTGCCTTTGATTACCGCCCTCATCTTTTTCTCCCAACAAATTTCTTTCATGTCAGCAGTCTCCCTGTCACCCCTCCAGCATATTAATTGCAGTAAGGAATCCTGCCTTGTGTATGGTGTAAACTGCATATCCAGTGAATCCTGCAGGATTACCCTGAACTTAGTTGGAAAAACTCATATACAAGTGTGTATGAATCCCGTCAACGTTTATATGATCTTAAGAGATGTCCAATTCTCGAGGACGAAATCGCCCTGATATTGTAGCTACGGCGACCCAATATGGGAAATGCCCATGAAGAGAAAGATTAATTTGATCAGGATATGACCCCCCCCCCCAAAAAAAAAAAAAACCAAAGATCGCTCTATGGTTACAGGTTTAAAGAAGGATACTTTTGATAAACATTGTATTGACTTTAAAATGGCGATGCATGCTGTGATAAATTTTATCCAGAAAAAAAACTGAAATTGTACAAGTTGCTTTATCCCGGGGTATTGGGCGCCCAGGCGCCCGACGACATGACGTTTTGGAAACAACGTTTTTTTCAGTTATTGAAGAAATGTATAAGAAATTAAAGCCCTTCAGTGTAGATGTTATCCCGCCAAACACACACCGAAACTACGACGTTGGTACAACGTTCGAACAATTTTTAACACCACCTAACCAGTTATAACAACCAATATAGCAAGTTGTAACAACGTTCTAATACGTCATAAGCACGTTAAGCCAAGATGTAACAACTTTATTACAAGTTGTAACAAGCGGAAAATATAGACAGTTTCGGTTTGTGTTTCCAGGGATATTATTATACAATGAAAACAGGAAGAAAACATACATGGTGTGCAGTATTCCTCAGTATAACCATAGCAGTATAAACGGGATGAGTTGAACAGCGTGTAGAGCTAATTATCGATATTCTCATCATCATTGGAGACTTCGATTCTCTATACAGACGATGAGTCACAGTAACATGGCTGAAGACATCATAACTAAACCACTCACCAGAAGATGAGGAGACGATGACGTTTCGGCCTGTCCTGGAGCATTATCACGTGGATTGTGATGGAAGCGAGGAAAGCACAGGCATGAAATAAGGCAAGAGTTTCTCTGCCCATCTATAATGATAGTGTACACGCGAGATGAGAGACTCACTGAACGCGGGAGATGAGATTCGTTGTACACGTGAGTCGAGAGCCTCGCTACATGCAAGACTCGACCCTCGCTGCACGACATATGGAAGCTACGCTACACGCGAAACGAGAACATCCCTACACGCTAGATAGGAGCCTCTCCACGCGTGTGAATGGGAAGGAATTGTCAGTGAAAAAATCACTAAACCAGTTGACTATATAGCACATTAAAGGGAATAAGATAAGTATTTGGGATGGGACAGGGGAAAAAGAATAGAGCCCAACCACTTGGACGGTCGGGGATTGAAAGCCGACCTGCATGAAGCGAGACCGTCGTTCTACCGTCCAACCCAAGTGGTTGGGTAATAAGTCCCGCAAACCATGCGAGACGTGAGCCTAGCTACACACACGAGACGTGAGCCTAGCTACACATGAGACGTGAGCCTAGCTACACAGGAGACGTGAGCCTAGCTACACATGAGACGTGAGCCTAGCTACACAGGAGACGTGAGCCTAGCTACACAGGAGACGTGAGCCTAGCTACACACAGGAGACGTGAGCCTAGCTACACACGAGACGTGAGCCTAGCTACACAGGAGACGTGAGCTTAGCTACACACACGAGACGTGAGCCTAGCTACACACACGAGACGTGAGCCTAGCTACACACACGAGACGTGAGCCTAGCTACACACGAGACGTGAGCCTAGCTACACAGGAGACGTGAGCCTAGCTACACACACGAGACGTGAGCCTAGCTACACACACGAGACGTGAGCCTAGCTACACAGGAGACGTGAGCCTAGCTACACACACGAGACGTGAGCCTAGCTACACATGAGACGTGAGCCTAGCTACACAGGAGACGTGAGCCTCAGCCTCGTTTTTCTTACCGTCTCTCAAATGAAACTCCATATCTCTCTGTCGTATCCTCCAAGGGAAATATTTACCTTAGACATATATCTCCATTGGAGTGTTTCTGTTAACATTTTTTATTTTTTGTAAGGCCTTCAGGAGGTCGGCCATACTTATAGGCCGCACCTTGATGTGCGCGTGTCTCTGGTGGAAGGCGCTGAAGGTATCATCCGGTGGTTTATGGGAGCTGGCACAGTAAGCATTATGGTGATCAATCACAGGGAACAAGGAGGCCCTACGGACTATCTCCTGAAGATCGGAGCCAGTGCACCAATCTGTCAATTTTGCTAGCTCGTCAAAATCAACATCACTTTCTACCTCTAAGTTGCTCAAAAGAATACGCAAGATCTCCAGTCGGCCCGCAATGGAAGGATTTGAGATTTCAAATTTTACTGGCAAACGCCTTAGGATGGCCGGGTCGATGGCCTGAATCCGATTCGTCGCTGCTAGAATCGTAACCTTGGCCTCAGGGTCAGTATTTATGCCATCCCAGTGAGTCAGGAATGTTGCCACAAACCCACAATTACTGCTGCTGAACTCAGAGCTCCTGCGAGTCCCAAGCAATGCGTCTATCTCATCCATGAATATGACGCAAGGCTGCTTCTTGTAGGCCAGAGAGAACACAGCCGCTGCCAACTTTTCTGACTCTCCCACCCACTTACTCATCATGGTGCTGGCATTTAGGGAGAGGAAGTTTGCATTAACCTCTCCAGCAACAGCTTTTGCAATCAGCGTCTTGCCACAGCCGGGTTTTCCGTAGAGGAGTATCCCCTTGGTGAGACTCATCGGGGGGTTGTTTCTGTGGTACTGGGAATGTACCAGTGGTATCATGACCTCTTCCTTGAGGTCCTGTAAGACCTCGGTGCAGCCCCCTACGCTAGCCCAGGTCGTGCCCAAGGTGCCTGGCGGGAAGAGGTAAGGCAGTAGTTTGCGTTCGTAATGGTTGAACTCCAAACTCGTCTCGCTCGAACTGCTGTCTGTCTCGGTCTCCCTTTCGGCCTGTTTCCCTTGTATGATTGACAACAATCTTGAGGCCAACTTATCCATTATGATCTCTAACTTATAAGACATTTTGTTCATGGACGACATGTCTGACACGATCCAAGTCATGCTCGTTGACTCGTCTGATTCGTCAGACTCTCTAATACCCTCTCTCAATCCCAAGTTGTATTTCAGCCTCCTGCTGTGGTCCAGGCCACACTCTCTAAGGGTGTGGCCTGGGTCAGACTCTCTGAGGGTGTGGTTTCGTTCGCACACTAGAAACAACGTTAGAAACTCGTCATCTCTCACGCACGACCAGGACGACTCTGTGTTGGAATCTAACTTTGTGGCTGTGTACGACCACCATCCATCCCGCCTCCAGGGATCATTCCTCGTTGAGTTTTCCTGATCGCTCTTGACGCTGTCCTCCTTCCCCTTGGCCATGTCCTCCTTCCCCTTGGCCATGTCCTCCTTCCCCTTGGCCATGTCCTCCTTCCCCTTGGCCATGTCCTCCTTCCCCTTGGCCATGTCCTCCTTCCCCTTGGCCATGTCCTCCTTCTCCTTGGAGCCGTCCTCCTTCCCCTTTGCGCCGCCCTCCTTCCTCTTGGAGCTGTCCTTCTCCCGCTTGGAGCTGTCCTTCTCCCGCTTGGAGCTGTCCTTCTCCCGCTTGAAGCCGTCCTTCTCCCGCTTGGAGCTGTCCGTCTCCCGCTTGGAGCTGTCCTTCTCCCGCTTGGAGCTGTCCGTCTCCCGCTTGGAGCCGTCCTTCTCCCGCTTGAAGCCGTCCTTCTCCCGCTTGGAGCCGTCCTTCTCCCGCTTGGAGCCGTCCTTCTCCCGCTTGGAGCCGTCCTTCTCCCGCTTGGAGCCGTCCTTCTCCCGCTTGGAGCCGTCCTTCTCCCGCTTGGAGCCGTCCTTCTCCCGCTTGGAGCCGTCCTTCTCCCGCTTGGAGCTGTCCGTCTCCCGCTTGGAGATTTCCGTCTCCCGCTTGGAGATTTCCGTCTCCCGCTTGGAGCCGTCCGTCTCCCGCTTGGAGCTGTCCTTCTCCCGCCTGGAGATTTCCTTCTCCCGCTTGGAGATTTCCTTCTCCCGCTTGGAGATTTCCTTCTCCCACTTGGAGATTTCCTTCTCCCGCTTGGAGATTTCCTTCTCCCGCTTGGAGATTTCCTTCTCCCGCTTGAAGATTTCCTTCTCGATCTTGGACAACTCCCTAGTACCAGTGGACTTGTTCCTGGCACCGGTGGACTTGTCCCTGGTACCGGTGGACTTGTCCCTGGTACCGGTGGACTTGTCCCTGGTACCGGTGGACGCTTCTCGCTGGACTAACAATGTACAGCATATAGACACGAGAATTACTTGAACAATTGCTATTATTCCAACAATTATTTCTGTAAGTGTCATTTTTATTCTATTCTAATTTATTATAACTTTTCAAACAATACATTTAATTATTACTGGATTTACCGCTGCTATTTGAAGTGATAATATTAAGATGTATAACTGTGCCACATATGCTGGTACTCCCTCGGTACCCCCGGCCACACCTTCTGGTAATGCCTGTTGAATCTCTGCCACACCTGCTCGTATTGCCTGGGTACCTCTGCCACACCTGCTGGTAATGCTGACTACTGCAAGTACTGCCTCGGTCACACAGTTACTACTGCAAGTACTCCCTCGGCCACAATGTCACTACTGCAAGTACTCCCTCGGCCACACAGTTACTAGTGCAAGTACTCCCTCGGCCACACAGTTACTACTGCAAGTACTGCCTCGGCCACACAGTTACTACTGCAAGTCATCCCTCGGCCACACCGTCACTACTACAAGTACTGCCTCGGCCACACCGTCACTACTGCAAGTACTCCCTCGGCCACACCGTCACTACTGCAAGGACTCCCTCGGCCACACCGTCACTACTGCAAGGACTCCCTCGGCCACACCGTCACTACTGCAAGTACTCCCTCGGCCACACCGTCACTACTGCAAATACTCCCTCGGCCACACCGTCACTACTGCAAATACTCCCTCGGCCACACCGTCACTACTGCAAGTACTGCCTCGGCCACACCGTCACTACTGCAAATACTCCCTCGGCCACACCGTCACTACTGCAAGTCAACCCTCGGCCACACCGTCACTACTGCAAGTCATCCCTCGGCCACACCGTCACTACTGCAAGTACTGCCTCGGCCACACCGTCACTACTGCAAGTACTCCCTCGGCCACACCGTCACTACTGCAAGTACTGCCTCGGCCACACAGTTACTACTGCAAGTACTCCCTCGGCCACACCGTCACTACTGCAAGTACTGCCTCGGCCACACCGTCACTACTGCAAGTACTCCCTCGGCCACACCGTCACTACTGCAAGTACTGCCTCGGCCACACAGTTACTACTGCAAGTACTGCCTCGGCCACACCGTCACTACTGCAAGTACTGCCTCGGCCACACCGTCACTACTGCAAGTACTCCCTCGGCCACACCGTCACTACTGCAAGTCATCCCTCGGCCACACCGTCACTACTGCAAGTACTCCCTCGGCCACACCGTCACTACTGCAAGTCAACCCTCGGCCACACCGTCACTACTGCAAGTCAACCCTCGGCCACACCGTCACTACTGCAAGTACTCCCTCGGCCACACCGTCACTACTGCAAGTACTCCCTCGGCCACACCGTCACTACTGCAAGTACTGCCTCGGCCACACAGTTACTACTGCAAGTACTGCCTCGGCCACACAGTTACTACTGCAAGTACTCCCTCGGCCACACCGTCACTACTGCAAGTACTGCCTCGGCCACACCGTCATTACTGCAAGTACTGCCCCGGCCACACCGTCACTACTGCAAGTACTCCCTCGGCCACACCGTCACTACTGCAAGTACTGCCTCGGCCACACCGTCACTACTGCAAGTACTGCCCCGGCCACACCGTCACTACTGCAAGTACTCCCTCGGCCACACCGTCACTACTGCAAGTACTGCCTCGGCCACACAGTTACTACTGCAAGTATTACCTTATGTTGAAGCCTCAGTACTCTTAGACAATTAAATTGAATTACATGTTTCATTGCTTTTATCATGTGGTGGTGTAGTGGTGTAACACGTGTGCCTGGGTGCTCCAAGATCATTGCTTCGAATTCTTCTTATGGCTCCTATTGATGTTCTCCGAAGATTTACTTAGAATAACAGAATACTTTATTCAGTCGAGTAATGTAAGCAGTCAAAGGGTTAATCTAATTTATCCAATTGCCAAGATAAATAAACCTTTGGTTTAAGTCACTGGTCGCCAACCTTTCAGAGCTCACGGACCACTAAATTCATAACTTGAAATCACACGGACCACTAATATGAATCCCGCGGTCCTCCAAACTAGAAATGATTGTTATTAAAGTTTAACTATTTAATGCCATTATATATAACAGTTAAAGAAAATACACATTTACAAATAAAATTGTCTGGCTGACCATCGGTTGGCGACCGATGGTTTAACTGATCATTACTTAGCTTGTTATAAGTAATTCAATAGTTACCTTTACATTCTAAATTATTAAATAACTCTACTTATTCCTAAGCAGTTGTCTAGCCCAGTCATGACGCTCAGACTAATGTAATGGCCAGGTGAAGCAGTCCTCTTCACCCCCTTTCTCCCTTCCTTCTCCTCTCCTCTCCCTTCCTCTCCCTTCCTTCCCTCCCCTCCCTATCCTGCTTATATCTAAAACTTCTTACTGGAGATGGAGTTCCTTCTTCCTGGCACATGTCACTCCACCCAAAGGATCATTAATACTGAGTCAAGTGATCAAGTCCCCTTTGTGGGTGCGTGGTCACTTCTCAGATGACCTAGTAGTTCCTTCTCTCTCATCTCTTTCCCCTCTCATTTCCCTCTCTTCCTCTTTCCTCCCTCTTCTTTCCCCTTTCCCCTTGACGACGAAGCAATCCATCACGCCCGGGTACAAAAAACCGTGATTTCTCAGGTTTCCTCACTGAACGGTCGGTCACAAGCATAGGTCTGTTTTCAAATCTGGTTTGAGTCAACGGTTCTCAGTGCATTCTAGGTTGAAGCAGATTATTTTCCAGTTGCGTGAGAAACCCTTTCTCCTTGCAGTTTTCAAATGCGTCATTGACCAAGTGCTTTGTTTCCATTGGTTAAGGGTGCGAGGGTATTAGGCCTAGGGTTCGAGTGATTAGACTAGGCCTAAGGGGCGGAGATCCTTAGGGTAGTACCTGGCTTTCATTGACCGGGTGTCATGGGCACAGAGCCTTGGTTTGAAGTGAGTGGATGTAGACCTTAGGGGCGGAGTTTTCTTGGGTAGTGCCTGGCAGCCCACTTACTGGAGGGCCAGGGCACCGAGACTTATGAGCTTTCTTTGGAGGAGTAAGACGTTTTTTAGTTAGTGTGACATGAGGGGGAGTGCTTGGGCAAAGGTAAACACCACACCTCGGGAGAGCCACACCATATTAGCTGGACATTCTAGGAAACTGTAAAGTGCTCTGTCAAGTTATGCATTGTTAGTACTGTCCTTCCCAATGATTCGAAGATAGAAATTAATTAGACTAGGCTGTATTTACATGTCATTTGTAATTAATAAAATTCATAGAGTATTTAACCCCTTAACTTGTGTCATAGTCTCCCGACTGAGGGCGTACATTTTCCTGTGATTCTCCTAGCTCCTTTTGGTATTAACTTAAATATTTCCTCTTGTCTTGAGTAAGCAATTTTTAACGAATTCCCCCCATGAGTTCCAGTAATTAGATCCTAATCCTCCTGCTTAGTATAAGGTTAGTTGGCTCCTCTTGTCCTAGGTCAATTAGCTTATTCCCCCTTTAATTAGAAGAAGTGGTTGCAGTGTTAATTATTTAAGTTAAGGGCAGCAGTGATGTTCCATTGGTAAGTTACAAGTGTAGCAGTGGTGGACAAAACTGGTGTTACACTGTAACACTGAGGTAGAGTCATTAAATGGTTGAAATTGGTCTATCTCTCCACAATGTATTTAAGAATCTTGATTGGGAATGAAGAGTGAATTGTTAGGTAACTAATATTTCATGTCTATCAAGAAGCCTTAAATAAATTGTTACTTTAGTAATATATGAATAATAAGTCTTTTGAATTTAACTATTTGAAAAGTCATTAATGAATACAGCGGCATACTACACCATTAATGAATACAGCGGCATACTACACCATATTTTAACTAACTCCCTTTTTAGAATTTAGCTCACTCACTAAAAGTTGCATTGTGACTTATTTATATTTGATTTAGTTATATTTTTTATTACTGGGCAGGAAAGTCCTGTAAGTGCTCGCTGATGTCAGAGCCTCCAGACCCAGCATTGTGTAAATAAGGGAAAGAATGTTACGAATTCAGCTGTTTACTCTTATATCTAGCAGACAAAATGTAGAATTCTGTTTAAGCCTATTAATAAAACACACTGTAATGTAATATTTTATGTTACTCAAACACTAAAATACGCAAATCAATAAAACTTGGTTTAAGTCATTATATATGTATCATACAAATCACAATACTAATAATACCCACACTTTTGGTGATTATGTTGTGTTCATCACAGCACTCATAACTCTGTTACGTGTTTTGTTCCAAGGAAGTGATATTTTGTGATTGTTCATGCCTCCTAAGTAAAGAAAACGGTTAATATTCCACTAAAAAATCTTTTGACCTTTGCCTAAAACAGCATATAGAAGACGTCGTGAAAGTACCTGAAGACTGCCGACTTATGAAACAATTCATCACTGCTCTAGATAAGGAGTCGGCCGCCTTCAGGAACTCTCAAGACTTCTTCCCTAGTTGTCTAAGGCAATGTTTAGTGGAATAATATACCTTTTTTCTATGCCTTGAAAGCCTTAGCATCTATAAAATAGCAATACAATTGTACACAAATTATGTATAATAGATCACAACACTACAATAATGGAATAAAATAACTCAGAATAACACCAATGCATAATTTTCCAAACAAGTATTGCTCACAAATTATTAAAATATTCCTGAGGGATGTCAACATGGAGATTATCACTTAATCTGGGGGAACGATAAGAAATAATCCATTATAAAGAAGCAGTATTTCTCCTAAGACTAGCCATGAGAAAACTGATATTTTCTAGTTTGTTATTTAATTCTAATAATGCCATTTTATAAACATGAATTCTTAACTGTTCGCTTCTGTTCACTCAGCACTCAGTCCACTCATTGGGCAGATGAGTTAAAAGTTGACTGGCAGGTTTCGTTCTAGGAAAAAGTAGTCGGGTAAGACTTACGATGAAGAAGAGGAAGTGAAAACCTGCTAGCAAGAATAAGAAATTTTCTTCTCCTGCTCCAAGTTTTGTGAAGAAGACCAAGCTAAGTTATGTTGTTTTAATGGGCCACACTACATGTCCCTAT